CGTGTCAACAGCTTAGGGACCCACARCCAGCATCCAGATCCAGGTGAGAGAAACAAAACTCAATAGGGTGCTCCTCTCACCTGATGTGAAACTGGAAAAAAATATAGGAGAGCCAACAGGTATCACGTCCAGCCACTCCCACAGGACTCTGGTGGCCATCGCCCCCATCAGCAGCAGCCCCACATCCCATCGTGATCTGCCTCACATCCCTGCAGCCCCCCGTGCTCTCTGTTATTAACCCAGGGAAGTCAGGGCCAGAACCTCCACCAGCAAAGCCAAGAGCTTAGCTAGGATTTAACCAAAAAAAAATTTATTAGATATTTCGGGGAGATATTCAAGAGCAGTTAAATATGCCCAGCTCATCGGTGCCTTTGAAAAATCTCACCCCTCTAAAAAATTAGAATTGATTTTGTATTTAAAAAGGAATCTATTTAATTTAAAAGTAAGATAATTTGAAATCATGACAGCTTGTATTAAGGCTGGAGTTTATGATAATCTATTAAAGTCATTGAAGTTAAGAACTGTCTCCCATCCTCTGCTGCAGAGGCTCTTGGGAGGGCAGTGGGGAGAGGGAAGCTGGAATATGAGGGGCTGCACTGCCCTATTTCAGAGCACACCAGCTGGAAACCTGGAGAGGAAAAAAAAGCTCCTCCAGCTTCTCCACTCTCAGGGGAAAAAAAACAGGATACAAAAAAAATACAGTATTTCACAGTCTTGAAATATCTGGCACCCAGAAAGCATGAGTTCAACCCATCAGCTCTGCTTGCTCATTCCTCAAGTCAATTTTACACTCAAAAAGGTATTTCAAGACTTTACTTTTCAAACATTTATTGCATTACAAAGAAGGCGAAGGAGTCAAAGACACCRTCTTTGGCGTGGTTTTTAATTGCATCACAAATCTCCTTTGAGCCCAAGGGGCTGAGAGAAGCCAGGATGCTCATAAATACGCCTCTTGCCACTTTATAACCTGCRAAGGATGGGGCCCAAAAAAATTAGCAGCCCCCAGGAGTGTGAAYCCAGTTAATGACATATCAAATGTGGCTGGATGCTGCAGAGTCAAGCAGCAAGGGAGAAGGGGGTGTGAAGGCGAGCAGACAGGGAATATTGAGCTGCAAATYAGCATTTCTTAATGGCGACCAACCAGCAAAATGCTTCCTCCCTTCAGGAGAAAATACAGCTAACGCAACAAACACAGCACGAGATGAAAGGCAACCACACCAAATTAAGGTCTCCTTGATTTAAAGCAGGATGAAAGCAGGTGATTTTAAATGCAGGCAACCCGGTGTGCAGCAAGCGGTCCCACATCCCAACTCCCACACCCTTGGCGCTTCCCAAAAATTCAGGAGGTGGGAGAAAACCATACAGCAAAAYGGGGAGATGGTGCTGGAGTCCCTTTGGGGACAAGCATATCAACCAACATGGGGCTCACTGGTGAGAGTCCTGAGCTGCTCCTGAGCAAACGTGGGCAGTGAGGCAGCACAAGAAGGCAGCCAGTGCAAATAAAAACTCGCTCCACTCRTTAGCAAAGAGAGCAACAGAGCAGGGGGAAACCTTGTCCAAGCATCTCCCTCCTCAGCCAGAGCTAACAACTCACAGACAGCACATCTGCTTTTGGAAGAACAGGGGAGCAGACATGGGGTCCCCATGTCTGGGAGATCCTGGGCACCAACACACTCAGCACAGCAGGGAGGGAGAGACCCAGAAAAGGGGCATGGAAAACTGGCAGGAAGCAAAGTCTCACTCTCTKGTGTAAAGATAAAGTTAAAGCTCATCATTAGTGTATGTTACTGGAGCTTCTCATCAGGGGTTATCAGAGGTCAGCAGACATTTTTGGCATGTCCAGTTCAGCAACCCCCCCACAGTACTTTAGTTTTAACAATCACCATGTGTGGCTCTCCTAAGACCCTGTTCTCCCAAGACCCCAGCACATCTTTAGTTGGGAGAATAATCCTTGTGGGATGCCTGGTTTGGCCACCATGGCAGGGAGGTGTCACCAAGGCAGGGGAACCACATGTGCCAGTGTCCATGAGAACCAGCCAAGCTCAAAAGCCCTTGAATTATTTTGGGGCAATTTGAGGGGGACACCAGGACTGGAGGCAGATGGCAACCAACCATCCTTGGGCTCCCCAGACCCTTTCCCAGCTGCTCCCCTCAACATTCCCCTGCCACAGTCCCAACCTGCCTGCTTGCACCCTCTTTGAGGGGAAACTGAGGCATGGAGAGACCTGCAAGGGAGTTGATTGAGAGTCCACATGGCAGGGCCAAGAYGCCACTGCCACAAGGCTCAGTGAAGCCCTCCATGGTGCTCTCAGCCCAAACYCAGGCTCTGTCTGATCAGGGGCAACCCCTGGCTCTGGTCCAAGCCCCTGCCAGCCAGGGTGGCAGCTCACCTTCCCTTGGGAACCTCTGCCCTGTGCACGAGCTCCGGATGTGAAAACACAGAGCAGAAGGAGCTGCTGCCCAGCTCCCCCCAGCTCAGACACTGAACCAGGCCCAGCAAGCGTGTGGGGGTTATCCACCACTCCAACAGATTATTTATTATACACCCAAACTCAACGAGGTGGGCGCAGTTAATGGGTCTGGTGTTTGCCAAGGATGCAAGCAGCGCTGTGTGAAGCCACGCTCCTGAAGGATGCTCAAACACACTCAGTCCCTGCACAAGGGCTTTGAAAACACAGCCACCAACACCTGTTCCATCATCCTGACATGGCCATGTCCCCAGCTGAGTGTGCAGTGACAGCACTGATGCCCTTTTGGGCTGGGGGACCTCCAGATCCAGAGACTCCAGCCTCTGCGTTGCCAAGTCTGGGTCTTGCAAGACTTCTGTGCTTTGCAGAGTTTCTGCTTTGCAAAAGCAGTGTCCAAGCTAATAGTAGCAGTAGCAGTAGCAATAAAATAAAATAATAATAACAATAATAACAATAATAACAATAATAACAATAACAATAATAATAATAATAATAATAATAATAATAATAATAATAGTAACACCCACACATGGCAAGGTGGCCATGCCAGCTTCAAAGCAAGGCCTTCTCTTACAGGAGAGAGTGAGACATGATACATTTCCCAGAAATCACCTAGCCAAACCCCTGGCAAACAGAGGACCCACAAGGTGCCCCCTCCTGCCAGCCCAGCCCCTACCCCCAGCATTCCARGCTCGCTTGCACTGGGTCACCTCTGTGTCTCCACACCCCAAACTCCTGCATGTTGGGGGCTGGCAYAGCACCATGCACCTCTAATATTTTTGGGGGATCAATGTCCCAAGCAGCAATGCCCCAGAGAGCCTGGTCAGCACCAGATGCACTGGCACAAGGCCTGTCATGCTTGTGTTTGTCCAGCAGCAGAGAGYAGAAGGAGGCAAAAGCAAACCCTTGCCAGGCATCATCAGTGCAAACCGTGGGTGCAGTGGGGGCTCCCAGGGCAGGCAGSTTCTTCCCTGCACTGCCCAGTGTATGGCACCCCACGGATTTGAGAAATCCCTGAGGAAAACCCCACAGTATGAGCTGGGGTCGTGCCCAGGAGCCTCTTTCCGATCCCCACCCAGGTGCTCCCTGCTGGTGACACCCCAGGCCCCAGGGCCCATCGGGGTCTGGCTCCCAGGATCAGGTCAGAGGGGCCAGGGGACGAGCACTCAGGTGGCCTTTGGGGCACGAAGGTGGCAGGGGCTGGCGGCCATGCCTGCGTCCCCCTGCATCCGCAGCGCTGCTGCCTTGTTGCCACAGCAACGCTCTCGGCCTCCGCTGCAGCATCCCGCAGCACAGGGCTCAGACCGGGGCACAGGGGCACCACAGCTCGCTGCCCCTGCCCCACACCGCCCCGGACTCCAGAAAAATGTCCCTGCCTGTCCCCACACACMCTCCCCGTGGCATCAGCAGCCTGTCTCTGCCTTTCTCCCGGGAGCAGGGGGATGCCCAGAAGCGGCCAGCACTGCCCCGAGCCCGCCCAGCACCCAGGACTGGGGGGTTTTAGCACATGGAGGGGTCCATAGGCCACAGAAGTGATCAATTGCTGGGAGAAAACCCAGTCTGGGGTCACCACCATACACAAGGGTGGAACAGCAGGGCAATGTCACATTAAGCAACACACCAGTGCCTMATTTTTGGGCCAACACCCAAACAAGGGTGGCATTTAAAAAACTTCATGGGGACACCCAAGGTGCAGCTGRAGAAGCAACAGATGGACAAGGCTTGCAGGAGGTGGCACAGCCACTGTGGGGCTGCTGGGAAAGCGATGGTGGAATTTGCCTAAAGTAGGAGGTTATGTGTGGGCAAGGAATTGACATTCTGCACCAATGTCACCAAAAAYTTAAAATCTCAGTGGCTTGTTCCAGGTGGTGAGGAGGGAAGTGGGTCTCTGTGCATCARGGGGTAGAGGCCTTGTTCTACCTGAACAAAGGAGCAAATTGTTGGCTTTTTTTGGTGGAAGAAAACTTAATGAGCCCATGAGACAAGGGCAGACGAGCCTCATCCAGCGGATGAAGAGCAGGTGGGAACCACCCGGACCATGAGAACAGGCCAAAGCCTAAAACCTGGGGGCAGAAGCACTGGAGGCAGCAGGCACAGACAGAATGGGATATACTGGGCAGCAGAGTATTTTTCCATCAGGCTGCAGGAAAGGTGACTCTCTGCTCAGGCACAGACAAAGCARAAACCCTCACCTCCAGCCGGGCACGCTGGGAGCAGAGCATGGGCCTCCTGCCAGCACAAGCCGCCGGTGGCCATTGATCGAGCCGGGGACGAGCCCCGTGGGTGACAACCTGGGCATGCATCGAGCACCCCGGGCCTGCAGCATCTCCAGCCGCGATGCGGCAGTGGGYGAACTGGCACCGGGGTGAGATGCTGCAGCGGCATGAACCGGCCCCGGACGGGCTGAGATGCTGCAGCGGGGTGAACCRGCCCCGGGGCCGAGCAGCCGCAGGGCAGCCGCCCGCCGGTGCGGCAGGGAGGAGCCCCGCCGCCGGGGATGCTCGGGGCCCCGCCGCGCTCCCGCAGGCTCACCCAGCACGAAGTAGGGCAGCTCCGTGTTCTCCAGGTCATCCACCACCACCATCTCGCCGGGGAAATCGTTGCGGACCGAGAAGAGCAGCTTGGGCTCGGCGGCCGAGGGGCCGTGCATGATGCTGAGGTCGTTCTCCCGCAGGAAGGGCAGCGCCGACACCGTGATGCTCTTCAGTTTGCACTCCAGCTCCTTGGCCGCCGCCTCCGCCGCCGCCTCGGCGGGGCCGCTGCCCGCGGCCAGGCAGCAGCCGGCCAGCAGCGAGCACAGCCCGGCCAAAGCCATCTTGGAGCCCCGCGCCGCGCTCCTGGCGCCGGGCGGGAGGCGGTGGCGAGGGGCGGGGACCGCGGCCCRGCGCCTCCCCGTGCGGCGCGGCTCGGCACGGCTCGGCATGGCACAGCACAGCTCGGTTTCCCCCGACCCCCGCCTCTCCCTTTCTCCGCTTCCCCCATTTCCCCATCCCCGGGAAACCGGGAGAACTGCGGAGCGATGCGGTGGCAGGAGGGATGTGGGACTGCACCGAGAATAGCGTGAGTACCACTCCTCTCCCCAGGATAAATCACAGACCTCCAAAATCACAGAAGGAATCCCAGACCTCCAAAATTCCATGAGATCTCACGGAACCCAAAGCCCCAGAAGAAGTCACTGACCTCCAAAATCCCAGACCTCCAAAGTCCCAAGAGAAGTCATGGACCCCAAAGCTCCAGAAGTTGCAGACCTCAAATCCCAGATCTCCAAAATCCCGAGAGAACTCAAGAAGTCATAGACCTCCAAATCCTCTAAGCCGGTGTGTTAAATATATATATATGTATGTCTGTATGTGTGTCTATATACATACATATGGATCTGTGTATACATTTATATGGAGTGTAAGGGYAAACCCAAAGCTTCTGGATTTGGATCTTTTTGCTGGATCTGGATGCTTTTTCACTCTCTTTMAGTGAGCCCAAAGCAGCAGTGACAGCTTGTCTGACAGCCACACCTTCCTGCAGACACCTGTGTTCCCCTCTGCAGCCCAAATCTTCTGGTGGAAAATATTCTKTTCTTCCACTGTGGGGGAAATGTCCAGTCCTCATCTCAACTGGAGCACAGACCCATGGTCTGGTGTGTGGTTTTCCTCTCTGGGAGTGTTCTGATGGCACACAACTCCGGAGCAGGGTGTGGAGGTGTGCCTGACCTGTGAGCAGAGCCCCCATCCCACAGCTCCACACCATCTCCTCATGGAGGACACCACCCCRTCCCACCTGGGCAGCTGCCAAGAAAACCATACACAGCAGACACTTGCAATTTTTTCTATTTTTCTTTTGCAGAGCTTTCTACCTCCTCGTGTGAGGGTGGCCCTAAATTCCCCCTCCCTCATGTGTGCCAGCTATGAAGCTTAACAAGCCCCAGAGTCAGCATCGAGGGGGACAGTGCTGTGCCCCACACACCCCAAGCCATGGGTGAGGGGGCTTTTCCCCAGACTGATCTGTAACACCCCTATATTTATAACTTCCATGGTACTTTGGGAAGGAAGAACTATGCTCACCAGAAATTACCCATTTTCAACAGCCAGAGCAAAGCACTGAACTCAATCAGTGGGGATGCAGTGGGGTGTGTTTCAGCAGTGCTGTCCCACTCAGGCACCAACCAGAGGCAGCTTCCAGGAAAAACAAGTCAAAATCAGGAGAAATCAGGAAAAAACAGGGAAAACAACAACAACAAACCCTCTTCCCCCCGAAAAAAAGACACCCAAACACACCCCCAAAAAAACAACAACACCCCACAAAACCCCCAAAATTAAACAAAAAAAAAACCAACAAAAACAACAACAAAACCCAAAAAACCCAGAAAAACCACCCCACCAAAACACAAAAAAACCCCAACCCAAAACAACCAAAAAACCATATGGGTAAAATTGGGGAAGGAAAATCAGCAAAAAAAAAAATAAGGGAAAATGAGCAGTGGTGTTTCGTAGGACAGGGTCTTCCTTTTGTGTTTCTTTTTGTGAGCACAGGGAAGTACCATTGGATGGCCATTGGATGACCTCTACCAGGCCCTTTCACTGCTCTTCTTCCACCAGGGGACACCAACTCATTCAAAGGAGTTTTTTTTTTATCCTGAAAAATAAAATAAAAAAAAAGGTGCAATTGCATTATTTAAAGGTGTCTCCACCAAGGTTCTTTCCTCCCTCTCGTTTGGTCATGGGATGCACCTCCAGGAGTGGTGTCCCTGGAATGCCTAAGGATGCGTGAAGAGGAGCAAGGAAGGGGTTTGTTGGGTGGTGTGAAGAATACACATAGATAAATAGCACACATACAAAAAGTTCAGCCCAGAGCAGTAACTCTGGTGCCACCAAT